TATTAATCTCATAGATTATGAATAATGTAGGAAATGTTTCACCGTTGTTTTTATATTGAATGAATGAAATGCTCGCATATCGACGTGTGCAGCGGAACGTGACACAAATCGTGACGTTTAGCGTACGCGCACGCATTTTTATTTTCTACATTTCAACACGTCATACATAAACGTCTCGCTTTTTCTCGCGAGCACGCATGTATATTCAATCTTTTTTCCGCACGAGCAATAAAACTATTTATTTATTTATTGGGTTCTACGTCCAATGTCGTTGCGCGATAAAACAAAGCCATGACCATATCTAAACGCCGCATCTATCCGTCTTGTAATCCAATTGAATGAGCGCTATAAAGCACACAGATGTATATACACGCTTGAGAGTATACAGCTATCTAAGTCGGAGTATATGTATATGTATAGGGATGCGCAGTGAAGTTTAATGTATTATTGCACCATCCCGGGTTTTATCAAATTAATCGGTCCAGTGACAAAACAATTAATCGTATTGTCATTATGCTAATTGTAGTAACAATATCCGCCTCACAATGTGATGCTACGTATTGATAATTTAACATTAGGTGAATAGGCTAATTATGTAATATAGAGAAGCATGATGATCATTAGACAGTTTGAGCATTATAATGAATTATTTGCGCAAATTTAAATCGGAGTTTCTAATAATATATTCAAAATAAAAACAATCATATAAATATACTCCTTAAAAATACAATTTAATCATATATAAATAATTCATTATTATAATTATTATCATCATGATTATATATATGGTTAAATTGTATTTTTAGAAATCCGGAAAAATTATGAAAATATTACATAAATATATGTATTCAAGCCAATATCATTTAAATATGTAAGAGGTTAATATACATATGTGTATACACCAACGTAAAAGTAAAGTTACTAAATAACGCATCTATCGATTATGTATTTTCCCGAATCGTTCGAAGCTTTTATGTAAAACGAATGATACGAATATTCGTGTATGTTATCCGAAGCATAACGGGAGTTTACAAATTTTCTAACCTGATTTGCTCTAGCGATTAACTCGCACCGGCTTGACAGAACGCGATTTCCACCATGTCGACGTGAAATCTTACTCGTCAAAGCTGGCTTTTCCACATCCCGCGGTTGATCCTTCGTGCTCATCATAACTTCGTCCTGGTTATCGATCTTTACAGAGTCCTCAGGTTCCAAATGCATCCTGAGGATGAAAGTTGATCAACGGCTTTCATCACTGATTAACATCACCAACTGACAAACTTTACTAGAAGTCGACCCGGCATGGTTTCAGTTTTCGGTGAATATATTCAGATATATATATATATATATATGTATATATATATATATATATATTTATTTATTTATTTATTTATACATATATACATATCTAATTTTTTTAATATACTGAATGTTTATATACAATAATCATGTATATGGCAATTATTAAAATACAATAGCAGCCTTTACACGTATGTATGTATATTTCTGAGATGCACAGTTAAAAAACTTTTGCGAAGCTTTGATCGGAAAATCGGATTCTGTATGTCATCAATCGCGTTTGTCGCAGGATAATAATTTTTATCGACAGCTCACATAAACCTGTGACTGACGGCTTTATTTCCAAGATAACTCACAGTATATTCGCTATGCAAGATGCATTATGCATGCAAAGCGCATCATAGTTGTTCCACCGTTGACTGGTGAATTGAAATTAGTTTGTTGAAATTCGTTGATAATTTCAAAGTAACACATTTCGATCTTTAGATTTAAATTTTAAATTTTGAATGATTGACTATTGACAGCAGTCTGTTACTTTCAGAGATTTACTAGGTGAAAAAAATAATCGTTTACCAGCTGAATTTTTTTAAAGGTAAATATTTATTACACGATATAAAAAGAGATTAAATATTTTTTTTCGATGCACGCGACGATAATAAACAAAATAAAATAAAACAAACATTGGCCTATAATTTATATATAACAATATTCCCATTATGTGTATATATGTACATACACATAATACACATTTTGTATACTTAACATATTTTCCTAAAATTTACTATTCATTAAATTTTATTTTGAAGTTATTTCAATATTTATTAATATCAGATTTTATTGCAATAATTCTGCAATAGGTTGCTTTGCAGCTGACTTGCGTTATTTAGTGCAATGAAAATTGTAATAAAGTGAGAAATAATAAATAATATATATATATATATATATATATATATTTATTTAATCTTACCTCAAAAATCATATCTCGTGCGAATTATCGGATCCTTCTGTGGAAAAGAAGTCTCTTATTTACACATATATATATATATTATATATACACACACATATATATTAAAATAGAAAAATAATATTAAATATTTTATTATAAAAATTTTAAGCTTATTTTGCACGAGATGTTTGATATGGAAAATTTGTGTTTTATAGTTTATAAACATTTTTTAATAATTAATTGCTCGTTGTAGCAAAATATTATTATGTAATGTATATCAAATATATATATTATATATCAATTTACATATATTAAATGAACATGTTTCACATTATAAACTGTTTTTGCCATATATATCATATAAAGCAAAAATCGATTGGGAACTGTGGCGACAACCACTGGTTCCATCTCAAGTTACACACGTTTACATACACGCACTAGAGAATACCGACATTCGATATATAATTTCTTTTGACGAGAAAATGTGTTTAAATATCTACAACTAATAATTTCAATTCTTTTAGATTGCTTTTCATATAAAAAATAAATTAAAAAATAAATTTGCACGAATTATTTTACGTATTATTATTTCACCGCTTTTATTACACTAATTAAAAATATAAATACACAATTTATTTTATTTCATAAATCAATAAAATTTAATTTACAAGAATCTTATATTACTATAAAACGAGATAAGAGAAATAACAATGAGATATTGAGCGCAATAAATAATCGTGGAGAAACAAAATTAGTATAACGCTTATAGGACGAATTCTAGACAAATTAGCTAAACTTTAAACTTGACACCTTTCTTGACTCTATATATTTTTATTTGGTAATAATCACTTTTGTTTATATGTCACTTTGTAATATTTAAATTAAATTGATACGTGTTATCTTTGTGTGAACACCGTTTTGTTGAGATCACTAGATTAACATGTGGAATTATTCTACATTATTTGTATCAAAATCTATTGTTTCGCTACGATATTCCTAATGGTGTGATTCGCTACGATATTCCTAATGGTGTGATTCGCTATTTATATGTATAAGTCACATTTTTGTAACAACTCAGATATTTTTGCCTTCATCATTTATTGCATTTGTTCCGCTCGTTATTACAGGTATTAGTGTAGTGTGATTTTATATTTTTATCTACCACTCAGCTTAACAATTGGCGAGCGACACATCGTAGTGATGTCTGTGCAACGGGGAAATACTTTTTTATTTAAACTTTAGATTTTGATATAAAGATCTTTTTATCTAAGTCTGAACGTGACGATGAGCTTATCTCGATAATTCGATGATCGTTTGCGATGTTATCGATGTTATCCTTTGTAAGCTAAACTTTAATTTATTTTTACTAATAATTAATTTATTTGCGCTGAAGATGAAAGAAGGAACCAAAACGTCCGCTAATTTATTATAATTGAGCACAATAATTGTTTCTGCGTCTTACTTATTGCGCTCGGTTCTCATTGCCTTACCTCGTTTAATTTTAATCACGAGAATCATTTAATTTAATTTATACAAAGTACAAGAATCTTATATTACTATATTAGAAACTAATTATAATGAAAAAGATATGTGATAAAAGATATAAGAAACAAGAAATTAAAGATTTATGTGACGAATTCCATCTGAAAATTTTCTTCTTTATTCATTTTATGTATAATAGACATATTTCATATAATAACGTAAACAAGATAATGATTTTGTATATAAACGCTTTACATTAAATCGTAATTTTATAAAAAGTATGCTTGCGCAGACAAGTCCGGAAGTGGTATGTGGTTTAATCGTGATAATGATGCTTTCCAAATAATGCTTTACCATATTATTTTAAGAAAAAATATGTACCCAATACACAATCGAAGATAAATCCATGGAATGTTGATTATACAGTACAACAAAATTACATTTTGATAATTATTAACTTCTATTAGTGAATTATGAAAAGTGTCTTCACAGGACATCAGTACCAATTGTTTGTTTCTATTACACCAAAAATTTGTGTTTTTCAAATTTGAAGGATGGTCATTTTGTATATGAGTCATTTTTAGGATCAAATCTGATTTTATTTCAAAGTATTATACAATTTTAAAATAACATAAATAATTAAATATAACAAGCACATATTATAATCCACTAATGGAACTCAATAGTTATTTTATCTGTTGTATTGTATTATCAAATCGATCATTACAACTTCTGTATATCATATTATTCGTTTAATTTTATCTCAAATCATTTCTTGTGCGATTCCGCGGATTCTCACATGATAAGGAAGTCATTTACATCACATCCGTATTTAAATGAGATATTTTACATAAAGCGATCGAGATTATCATGGCGAAAAATGTATTTACATCTTTTACATACATTACGTTAAAATACTTTCAATTATAAAGACTTGCATCACATTAATTTTATTCATATCACGCTTCTCTTTTGCGTTTTCTTCGCGCTTCTAGAATATATCAAACAATTTCTAGAACAATCGCATGATATTTCGGGAAACAATGAAACATCCCTGACAATAACACATAATTTATTTATATATTAGAAAATTATGTGCTGATCAATAAAATTTGTTATTCAATTAAAAATAATGGTAGGGTTGGATCAGCACATCAAATATCAGAAATTTTATAAGATTTACAATAGAATAGAGAAAACTTCTGTTTGCTATGTATAGAGCTTACTATATATATTCTGTAATACCTGTAAAAAAAAAGAAAATTATTATAACCAGCGCTCATATTATATTTGATATAAAATTTGATGATTTATTTGTATATTAGAAAATTTTGCGCTGATCAATGAAGTTCTTTAATCCTGGATATTATCGAAGAGAAAGTCAATGCGCAAAAGCGCTGTTTAATATTTTACATACTTAATTGTGATTTCTTATAATTTTCTTTTTTTACGAGCACACAAACTGTTATGTTACTGACATAGACATCTTGTGTGTGTGAGTGCGAAGTTTATCTCTGCAATAAATCAAGGTATTCTCGCAACGAGGAAGAAGCTGATGAAATCGACAAAATCAACGACGAGAGAATTAATAAAGTACAAAAGTACGGATATCTCAAAACTCAAATTGAACGACTAGAGTTTCTTTGAAAAAGATTACAATTTATGCAAAAAAATTGAACTCTATTTATATTATATTTATTTTATACATTTAGGGCCATTCCTAGGTTTCCTTGCTGTTATCTATGATATCTAAAATTCGGATTGGTGAAAAACGTGGCCTTCAGCGTAATCGAGGAAACGGATGGCAAACTCACGGTTGACGTATTATTGTTGATATGATAAGATTGCCGTTTATGTCGCCATAATTTGTGAAGGATCAGCGATACTTTAGTGTGATATGGACGACGGCTCATTCCTCGGGCGGGTGAACATCTTTGACATAAATAACATTTGAACATTCTTTGTCGTGTCGACTTCTGATCACGTCGTGTGATTATTACTTTCTTACCACTAATTTTTTGTCGGTTTAACTGTTTATCAATATTTGTTAAATCTTGTCCAAATCGTACGCCTAAGGCAGGTATTGGATTGCTCGGCGAATCCCAGTGCCATTTGATCTGTCTCGGTTGACTCTGCTTCCTTCGCCTCTCGTACGGCTTTTGTCGATTTTCCTTCTCGTTCTGTCTGTACGCAGGTACAGACTTTTGTGACTGGCACGGTTTCGAAAGTCGGGCCTCGAACTCTTCCTTCCAAGAAGCTAGTGCCAGGTAACTTCTTGCGATATCACTGTAAGACCTATCATTAACGTCATTTTTACTTCTCTCGTTATTGCGATCGCTCGGACATGATACAAAATTGTCCTTATCGCTCTTGAAACCGCAGGCGCGACGCGACACGGGGTCACGATTGCCTCGGACGACGTCGTCATCGTCGTCGTCGTCGACGTCGCCGTCATTGATGTCGGTTATATGACGGTGTGACCGCTTCTCCTCCTCCGTGGGATATGCCATGGTTGCTGCAGTTGCAGGGGACTTTACCATCTCGTGGCTGCAACCACCGCGGCACTGTTCCATAAGTTACGTTCGCGTCATTTTTTTTCTACCAACGTACGAGTGTTCGTCGTAGCACGACGTAAAAGAAATAAAACTGTATAACTAGACAAAGATACATATCTAGTAGATAATAGCTGCGCGTTCGCGCAGCCTACGACACCGAAAGCAAACGAAGCGTGCACATGGTGACACAGAAGACGAGAGGTCTTGTTGTCAACAAAAAATAATCCAAAAATGACGCGAGAACGTAACATAAAACAACAGGAGGAGGAGTGGATGGTGACGGGCGAGATGACGAATCGTCAGATGCATCATCGACGGATTACGATCGATATATGTTGATTCCGCGGTCGCGACAAAAAAAAGAAGAATCATCGAACGTTTCATAAATCGTTCGTGTAATAGCGAGTTGATGAGAGGCGGAACGATAATAACAGATCTGTAACCCGTCGTCAAACGCGCCAACATAGCCGGATGAACGAAAAATGCAAAACAGTTGGCCGCTTAACATCGCGCGATTTATTGCCCAATTAATGGTGAAGAATAAAAGAGGAGAAACGCAACAGAATGCGGCAATTAATTGAATAAATAAACATAAGCCGAGTATCACGTGCAACAGTGAATGTCACGAGGCTTACCCAAGTATAGTGCTTGGCGGTATTACAGTGGTAGCAGGTGCGATCGCTGGAGTTGGTGCAGGAAAGACTGGTGGTCCAGGTGGGGGTCGTCCTCCTCCCACGGGACTGTAAATTCAATAATGAGTAATAAATAATCACGTTAATTATTCGTCAATAAGGACGAGAGAACGAAGGTGCTCCGAACTTCTACGAAAAGATTAAGCTTATTAGTTTGTGAATATTTTCGTCGTGTCAAATTTGTCAACATTAAAAAGTTTCAAGTAATTCATTCAGAGAATAGAACAAAGAATAGAAAAAGAACAGCTTCATTATCTATGTCTATATATACGAGATATCTCGTATATCTCTCTATTATACATATATATTTAAGTTCGTAATTTTTTATTTTACTCTATAAATTTCTTTCTAAGAATATAATGTGGAGCAAGGCAATATAATTTAAGGAATAATATATTTCTTGTTATATATATTATGTAAGTAATTACATCGTTAAATTTAAACTGGTGACTTTTATCGACAGTTTTATTTTACGACTTTAATTAGTTGCTCAGATGTAAATAATAATTAACCACGATGTGAATCGATATTTTGATATCTCGAATTTATTATATAACGTGAATAACAATGCACCATTATTTATATAGCACTGATTAAACTTGTTAATGATGCTTCCAAACTTTGATTGAGTGGAAAAAACTACATGTTGTTCAATGCTTTTTCAATGTATATGTAATTTTATGTTGTTAAATTAGTTAGTGGCAATTAAATATTTTATTTTTGCCCGCAATATTATTTTTATTAATGACAATGCTAGCAGATCGAATATTATACACGTTATCATTAGATATTTCTTTTTCCTTTTAATTAATAAGATTTTCTTCTGTTCTATTTTGGACTATCAGAAATTATACTTCCCTTGAATTAAAATACAAAAAAACAAAAGTCCTGAAATAATTTTTGAGCAAGTAAATATATCAATATTTGTCAAGATCGATAAACTATATATTGGATCGGAAAGATTCTATTAGATTAATAATAGAGAATAAAAAATGAATATAAAATACGTGAAGACTATATCCATATTAAAATAAATGAGCTTAATATTTATGCATATTATTTTTCCAATGAAAGTTGCGCCAAGATTTAACTTTACCAGACCAAACTACAATACTTTGTAGTTACGAGTAAATGATTCTCTACGTAAGATATAAAATAAAAAATAATCTTACTGTAGAGGTTGCTGATGCCGATTGCTCGGCGGCGGTGCTGTTTGAGCGGTCGATGTCGATGGTGCGCTTGCACTGCTGACCCGATGAACGTGCAACTGATGTATCTGTAATTGTGCCGCGTCTTCACCTAGGTACGAACATCTCGAACACTGTCTTCTATTATGTACCTTGAGCACGTGCGTCGAAAGCCGTTCGGCGCGTGCTGCTTTGTACTCGCACAAACTACATGCAAAAGGTTTCGTGTGAGTGTTTATATGCCGCTTCAAACACCAATTATCGACTCCGCTCCATGAACAGTAGTTGCAAGTGTACCTTAAAAATCACAAATTAGAGAATATGCCAATTATATATCGTTGCAATTATAACAATCGCATTATGAAAGAATATTTAGTGTACAGAAATGATCCCAGAGATTTACTTTATGTACTAGAAGAAAATCTAATTAATGAAAAAAAATTAATGAATAGAAAAAAAGAAATTTGTAACAGTCAATATGTGAGAAAAAAATAGCTGAAAAAATGCACCTTCGTTCTTGCGAGCTCTTGGAGCCACCTTTAAGATGACTTTTGCTATTGCACCCGCCGTTTTGCACACGTCTGCCTGTGTTGCAGTTACTCGTGTCGAGTTGCATGATTCCTCCCGGCGCGGGCATGGTTGTCGTTTGATAAATACCGATGGTACCGGTACTCGATGAGGCGACATTGGGCTGTAACTGATAACTTTTATTGCTAGCGAAAGTAGATTGACAATTGATGTGTTGCTGCTGCGGTTGCTGCTGACTGCTCGCGTTGGCTATCGCTGCAGTCTGCGTCGTCGTTGTGTCCTGTTGCAATGGTTTCGGTGCACTCGTTCCCACCGGTCTTCGTATTCTCGAGACGTCGTAGGCGTGATCGCGATGCATTCTCATGAAATGCTTCTTTACATGATCGGCGCGATTGAAAGGCTTGAAGCAGACGTAGCAATGAAACGGTTTCTCCTCGCGGTGGATGTTCTCGTGTCTTGTGTAGAGATCGCGTCTATCAGTTCCGTAAGGGCAGTACGGACAAGTATAGCGTTTACCGCTCACGGATGCCGTGGCAGAAGTTGTCATCGTAGTTGTGCTCTAAAAAATGCGCTGCTTTCTCATAACCGTAGCAATGAACATCAATTAAAAAAAAAAAAATATATATATATATATGCGTATATTAAGCAGTCATCGTCAATAACTCATCTCGTCGCGTTACGTTTCGCCTTGTCTCGTTAATGTTTCAATTTTTTAACTTTTATGTTAAATATAAATTTTACATTTATTCCTGTATACGTTAAATCAATTTATAATTATTGTTGAAACTATTAAACAATTATTGCCAGTTTCAATAAAACTATTGAAAACTTTAATTTAAGAAAGTAAGATGCGGTAATTTCAGACTGAAATCTAATTCAGCATACCTGTTGCAAATGCTGCGGCGCAGGAACGGATGGCAGATCTTGCAGGAGAAAGCTCGAAGTGACTGGCAGTAAAGCCGCAGGTACGGTCTGTGTTTCTTGAGTTCTTCTAGAGGGAGGTGCCGCTCGTTCGGCGCGTTCACGGAGTCTCTCTAAATACATTACTACGTCTTCCATTTTAAGATCTGCTTGTAAATAATCTTTGCGTGGCGAATGGTGCCTATTCCTACCGTTGTCTGCTAGGATCCTTGAGGAGTGCAGTTCCATAAAATGTTCAGCAATTTCACGCGGCCCACCTCCCATGACATCCCCTATTTGATAAACGGTTAATTTTTAAAATCAGCATTGGGACAATTGTATAGGACAAAGCTATAAAACTATAACTGCAAAGGTCACAATTCTTTGTTTGAATACTCAAAATGAAGCAAAGTACGGATAGCATTTTAACACAAAAGGTAAACAGAACAATAGACTCTATTTGGAAAGAAGAAAGAATAGTGAGAATAAAGGAAAGAAAAACATATAAAAAAAAAAAGGAAAATATCTTTTTCTCGAATTGTATTAAAATTATGATTTTGTGAAGCACCGAATAAGAAGGAAAGAAAAATGATAAAAAAAGATACTGCCTTAATTAAAAATTAGAGTAGAAAATAAAAATATATCAAGTACACCTACTTGAAATATCGAAATAAAATATCCGCGTATTTATACCTACACATATATATATATCAATTTCACAGCGTTGAATATCGTGATATATAAATTTTTCTACATATATGCAGATCATTTCAGATCACACATCAAATTACTGATATACTAAATTACTGATGAAATATTTGACATAATAAAATTATGCAGAAAAGGTAATTAATTTATTGCATCAATAGCTATTGCGTATAAATTTTAAAAAATATATCAATCAGTTACGTAGGATATGATAAAATATGTTTTCACATTTAAATTTATTAAAAGTTTTCCAAAAAATTAAAAATGCGAAGAATTTACGTGATTTGCATTGTGCATATTGTAATTTATTTCATATTTTTCCGCGTGCATACGTAACAAACTAATTAAACCTTGTTATACAACTGCAACAAAGAGAAGTTGCAGTTGTTAAATTCGCGACATTATAAAAATTTATAATTAGAATATTTATATTGCCAGATAATTTGAAAAACTACAAATAGATTCCTGAAAAATGCGAGAATTATGAAATATATATAATAGTCGTATAACGTCATTATTCAAAATGATACGATCGGTAATTAGCAAGGGGATTTTTCTCGCTATCTACCCCTATTAATCGACTTATTTTTATCTTGTATCAGTTAAACTTTTTACATCGTTGGATAGAAAATTACTTGGTTATATTCTGAGTGCTTCATCGATCAAGACCTTTAAGCTTATAGAGATTGTAAACAAGTTAGCTTTGCACAAAAATTTTTTTAGAAAGGTTTATAGAACCTAGTTTATAGAGTCTAGTAAATAAATAATTAATGTAGATACAACAGTATTTTCGGTATATTCAGTTTGTTAAATATTGTGCAAAAGAGCACATTTAGTAATTCAAAATATTTACCGCATTCATCACATCGCCACGTAGTTTTTCCGGCATGATAAGCCGCAATTCGACTTCCATCAGTTCCTTTGAGCGGTTCCTCTTCGTACGCCCAATTTCCGTCGTCACTGCAGTCTGTACCATTTCCAGTATCTTCATCGTTTTTGTACGAAACTGATGCCTCAAATTCGTTCTGCACGCTCGACGCTGCATAAATGAAATTATGATAAATAGCATTGAGCTCTTTGCATTCAATGGTAAAAAAGTCATCATTCTTCATTGAACAAAGTATTCGTTAAATCGTTATAATATTATATTAATATCGATCTGAATATTCATTTAACTTTCAATAATGAAAATTAATTTTCGACACTGAGAATGAGTATAATTTCCAACAGTTTGAATAGATTGTTAGTTGGAAATGAAATTATCTTGATTGCCGGTGATTTGTATAATTAACGTCGAACAATCAATTAGATAATCATTTCAAAATTTAATTTTGAATGATAGCTTTAAATGATAAATTGCGAGATGTTACACATGTATAATTGCGTTTCAATAGTGCACGTGTATTATATATTGGGGAAGACATTTGCTATTGATAAATACAATTGCTATTATATATTATAATATTATTAATAAATACAATTATTGATTTTCTGAAAATGAATATTTATATATATGTATATAGGACAATAATTAATATCTTTAAATTATTCTTGAATTCTAAAAAATTTTACGTAAAAACTAAACTTACTTCTATGATCGGGATCCTCTCCGTAGAGTTTTCTTGTAATTTCTTTAAACATATCCTCGTAGCAATCGAGCCTGCTACTAATTCCGGTGCCACTCCCCTCCATTTTCCAAACTCGTAACGGTCTCTCGCTTATGCAGAAATAATAAATCTATCCCTTTTGTCCCTTATGTCCCCGGGTAATCCGTCTACCAAACGCAGGTAGCCTCAGTCGTCGACGTCAAAGACCTAAACTTGAAAGAAAATTTCTTTGTTCTATTTTCGGCATAGTTTCGTTTGTGTCGAGGTAGAATGTTTCTAGATACAAGTTTACAATGGCAGAAGATTTATGCAAATACTGTATCTCGCGATCTCAAGATATGTAATATTATTAATAATATAAATATGATATTTTAAATCGGCCAACAGAGCCCAAGCGCGAAAAATTAATTCTTCATGGAACTTAGTGATCTCAAATCAAAAGATACAGTTCCGAAGAATTAATTTTTCGCGCTTGGGCTCTGTTGGCCGACTTAAAATATCATATTTATATTATTATTAATATTGAGAGCCGTTAAAAATATTTCTTATCTGATGTAATATTATGTAAATAAATTTTGAGATCACAGACATAATATAAGATCTCACTGATCAAAGATACAATACAGTATTAGATTTGATATTGATTTTGGATTTATAATTAATTTTTGTACTGTTATTCGTGTTCAACGTTGTGTAGGTTTGTTCAATCGACTAAATGAAAAATACCATATAAAAAGTTTTGCCCTATCGACCGTGTGAGCGTATTCCCCCGTGCGTGCATGTGCCACGATAAATAGAGAATAAATACGTTCAAATTCTCGGGGGTGTGTTTCGTAAAGTGTAAACGTGTGGAACAAGCGTGGTAGAGAATGAGGGGAATAGTGTACGAAACTTCATAACGGACGCGCTAACGACTTCTCTGGGATACCATGAGATTAGATTCGAAATAGTTAAACGATGTCCAGGGTGAGTCACGTTGTTTGAACAAGTTATCTCTCACTATCTCTCGCTATCTCTCTTGTTCTCTCTCTTTCTCTCTCACGACCGATGATAAAAAGAATGTAGGCTTAATCATCTCTAATTTCTTGTTGAATTTTTTTTTAATGAATACAATAGTGCGTTTTTAATATGTAATTGCATATTTTAAAATTTTTGTATATCTTCTCTTTTCATCTCAATTTCTTGTTATATATGGAAATAACAAGATAGGAGTAGAAGATTCAGTTTCTTGAAAGATTTTTTCGACTTTTACACATATCTTTTTACTTATTTAAAATTATTATGTATATTATAATCGACATTTAATTAAATGTAAAATTATTTGTAACTTCTACTCGAATAAATAAGGGGGATAAATCTCTTGATTCAATTATTAAGTTATTTAAATTCCAACAGTAGTTTTCATAAGATTATCCCCCCTGAGAATTATATATTTTTTAACAATTAAATTGGTTAAAATCTAATCATAATGAGAATTAAAAGATATGCTACATATTTTTTATACGTATATCAAGTTTTTTTCTTGAAAACTGCTTTGTGAAAGAGTCTGCTTTTTTACGCTTTCTTTCAGAAATTCATGATATAAATATATAAAATTTATCTAATTGATTTTTACCTACATCCGCGATACTATCAGTCTCGTTTTTGTGTTCCGATTGATTTCGATCGAATGATACATGCACAAGAATTTATTTTTATATGTATATCAAGTTTTTTTCTTGAAAACTGCTTTGTGAAAGAGTCTGCTTTTTTACGCTTTCTTTCAGAAATTCATGATATAAATATATAAAATTATCTAATTGATTTTTACCTACATCCGCAATACTATCAGTCTCGTTTTTGTGTTCCGATTGATTTCGATCGAATGATACATGCACAAGAATTTATTTTTATATGTATATCAAGTTTTTTTCTTGAAAACTGCTTTGTGAAAGAGTCTGTTTTTTACGCTTTCTTTCAGAAATTCATGATATAAATATATAAAATTTATCTAATTGATTTTTACCTACATCCGCAATACTATCAGTCTCGTTTTTGTGTTCCGATTGATTTCGATCGAATGATACATGCACAAGAATTTATTTTTATATGTATATCAAGTTTTTTTCTTGAAATCTGCTTTGTGAAAGAGTCTGCTTTTTTACGCTTTCTTTCAGAAATTCATGATATAAATATATAAAATTTATCTAATTGATTTTTACCTACATCCGCAATACTATCAGTCTCATTTTTGTGTTCCGATTGATTTCGATCGAATGATACATGCACAAGAATTTAACAGCGCCGCTCTGCAAGGGTGGCGACAGCATCCGGAATGAGGAAGGAACGTGTATTGATCGTCACGATTGCCGCTCGAGTAACTGGGTGGGGAAACGAACAACCCCTACTGGCAACCCTCCCAATATGTGTGCGTGCACACAAACCAAGTCGTTCGTGTAGATGTGGAGGGGAAACCAAGAACGTTGAGTGCATGGAAGGGGCACTGTGAAGAATAAATCAATATTCCCCTCTACCGCGTCGGTCGAGGGCACGTCTCCTAGAAACGACAGATGGTGGCGCATAGAGGGTGTCTGGACTACACCAGTGGAACTTTATGTTTCTGCGCCGGTTGAGAACCCCGGTGTTATAGGACAGAGAAAAAGAGTAGGAAAGTTAGGCGAGGAGAAGAGAAGGAGAAGGAAGAGAGGGAGAGATGACACGACGGCGCAAACACACGGTCGTTCGGCGTAAAGGCAGAGACACACTCCTGAGGAGAAAGAGAGAACGAGAGAAAAGGCAGAAAGAGAGCGAGAGGGTAAATCGAAGGAGAAAAAGAGAGAAAAGATTCAGGCGTGCAATCCGCCATTCAAATTCATCCGGAAATTATTGCCGGCTAACCAAGGACGCCAGGAGCAGATCTTCAGCACGCTCGCTCATGTATTTGTAAATATACATGCGCGATCGCACACAAGCGCGCGCTCGCGCACGCACGCACGCACGCACGTATGGCCGTCCAGGTCCGGCCGAAAAAGATCCCTTCCTTTCCGCTCCGTTCTCTTCTCTCCGCTTCTCCGGAAGCGGCGCGCGGCTAAACCGCCGTCGCCAGCCATCATCGCAGAGCGCTGTCTTCGTCGCAGTCGTGTATGCGCGCACACACATGGTGAAAAAAAATCTACCAGCCACCCGCTCATCATAATCATTCGCGGTGAACATTACGCGTACTATATCGCGAAGAACCACGCAAACAGGCTGTCCTCGCGCACACGCGCGATCCCCGCGCTGAGAGATGTTGTCCCAGCGCGGAATACACGCCGACTCCTCTATCTATCTCTCTCGCTCTCTCTCTCTCTCTCTTTTTCTTTCTATCCGTCGCACGGATGCGCGTCGAACACGGACGAACACACGGACATCGCGGATACAGCCGCGCCGCGCGCGCTTCTCGATAGGTATTCGCGTGCGGCCTATTCGCGATACACACAATACGGCGGCCGCGGCGGCCTCTCCTTTCGCTTTCGTTCGTGCGCGGCCCGGCATCATTCAGAGTCGATCTCTCCGCATTCGGGGTCTCGCTTTATCCGCTCGCTCTACTTCTGCATATATCCCTTCTCACCGTCCTACTTTGCACTTTCTCCCGATCGTTCGTTCTCGGCGCACAACACAGTGGAAGAAGTGGAACAAGCACGTATTTCGAGAGAGGAACGTGTCCTCGGCGAAGACACCGGCGAAGACTGGCCGATGCCGTACTGATACTGGGATACGATGATGAATATACCCGAATACACGACTGAACAGCGGCTGAGCACCAAGTGAACACAAAATGCGGGAAGGCTCGCGGAGACACGGAGTCGTCGTAGCACAGGAAAGCACTGACTCGTCTTGTGATTTACTTACCTCTGATGCCGGTGGCGAAGACCAAGTGGATGGAAATCGTTTGTTCGAGAAAACGTTATGCTGGTTCGGTTGCAGGTTGTTTCCTCGACGGCAGTCGGGTGGCGAGTGGGTGGGCAGGCGGGGTGGCAGGCGGACAGAAATGGGTGGCTTGAGCGGGTTGGGAGCAGAGTGTGGGTGGTGGGAGTGGGGTGAGGGAACCCAATACCACCCTCCTCGCCCATTCAATCCTCCGGTATTAGGGGGAGTAGTCGAGCCTGTTCCCAACTGCCCTCCCTCCCACCATACATCCAACACAGCCTATCACACTGACAGCTGGCGACGGGAGACCGTTTCTGCGTGTGCGTATAGGCTCTGTCTCACACTCCCTAAACTTATATAGGAGACCTTCCCTATCTCTTACACATGTTTCCTACGCACTCCAGGGCGAATTAGGCATTAAGAAGGAAGGAGAGAAGGTTGAAAGAGGCAGCGGGAGATCCGGGAGAAGACCTTCGAAATCCCTTTTCAAGGAACCTTTAGAAAGGTTTAGAAATTCTAGCCTGCCTGCTAGAAACCATAGAAAATATTGCCATACCGTTTTTTCCTCGCCATAACGGCGCCTCCTTTTATTTATTTTACAGCGGCGGAACATTCTCAACGGAGCTAAATTTAGAGATAAAAGTAAGAAAGCGTTATATGGTTAGCAGACAAATTTTTAACATGTAGAAATAAAATTTATTCTCCTCCGATATATATTTTTTCATATTTATCTTATCAATTTTCACGTTACTCTTTGAAATTAACTTGGAGCAAACGCTTGTTTCAAACATTTACAAATCGATTATTAATCTCGAACTTGTATACTATGTTAATCGATTCTGTCATCATTTTCACATGGCGAATAGAAGCAAAAGTAAAGTTGTGTTTTGAATCATATACAAGTCGGAACTAATATATCGAACGAAACAGTGTCCCTAATGTATATAATATAATCTCACGATTTTAGAAGGCGCTGCTGGCATATACGTAGACGCAGTATCAGCCTGGCCAAGGCAAGAGCACTGCTGTCAGAAACATACTACGACCGATAAGCAAGCAATCGACCAAACCGACTGTTTTCAGAGAACCAGGGTATATCTTGGTCGGCATTCTTGGTTGGTTCCCTACTGAGTGTACAAGCTGCGTTGTAACCGGCAAACCTTCATTTACATTTCGCCCGGTGTTACCATGTGTAACGTTCCGTGACACGGATCTGAAATTAATTTTCAGCATTTCATCCCGTTTTGCTTCGTTATCGCCCAACCGGAGGCCGCTTCGCGCGCCTAAGCGCGAAAGTCATTCAACGAGAGCAAAAGCGAAAGACGCGGCACCTGCATCTCGGTCGCGCGTCTCCGAATCGCAATTTAGGGATGCATCTGATCGCTGCTGGCGACGTATTGATCCTCACCTCGTTCAGGCATTCCCTTACGCTCGCGCGCGTCCGCATCTCGTCCTTACGTAGATGCGAGGTGGAAAAAACTGATGGAGGGATGGATGATGGTGTCTGGTATTGGCCGCGGTCGCGTGATCGATCGAACGCCGGAAGGAGGAGATGGTACGCTCTCTTTCGCGCGGGAAAAATTTCCGCTCTCACACCACGAACGCGGACCTACTTAACTTAAAAGCCGCTAAAACGGCGATGTACCAAGGACGGTGGCACGCAGAGGAGCAAACGGGGAAGAGGAAAATGAGATTTGCCGCGAGAAAACATAATATTCCTGAAATACGGGGCGAGAGATTTCCATAAAAATTTTAAGCATAATTTTAAAATAAAGTCTATGATAAAGCTCGTGTCTCTCTTTAGAAAATATGACGATGTTTATAATTAAAACCGTATATCTATATTTTGCGAAAATCCTCGCATCGTTGCATAAGTGCGTTTTCCTTTCGCTTTCTTCTAGTGTTCATATCACTTTTATTATTAGCTTTGTTTATTAATCTATTATTAGCTGCGCTTTATTTAATATTCAAAGTTTATCGAGAAAACGTATTAATAACTTCAAATCTGAGTACTTGAAGTTATCTTAAACAGAGTCAAAAAATTTTTATTTAACGTCAATCTTACATAAGTATAAAACCAAATTGAATCAATTGTACGTAAATATTTTGTAGATTCAAGAAGTGGGATTTATAACACTGAGGCTTGACAAATGTCAAAAAATAAATTCTTTTGAGTAAAATGACAAATAATTGTTTTCTGAGATTCATAATAGCTATTGGTGATCTATTATTATTCCATTGAATCGAAATGTTTCAGAGTCACATCGATTTCTTTTAGAAATAGCTTACTTGTTGGCTGATGTAACATAAGTTCTCTTATCATTTTTTCAAAATAATATTGTATGGCCATTTTTTAGAATCATCGTCTATAAGTATATAAATGAATTCGCTCATTTTCTTTACGATTTTCTTGCTTTTAATTTCTCTACGTTTGAGGGAAGTCTACCTCATCATAGCACGATTAATTAAGAAGACTTGCAATTTTTCATGATTCCATTATAATTTCAAAATCATCCTTAAAAGAGTCCTTTATTATAATATTATTACCAAGTTTTCTCAGTCGAGCTCATGCGGTATCACATGTTTTCCGTGATCGCGATCATTCATACAACTATTCGAGCGTAGCGCGTCATAGTCATAATGACGCCGTGATCATAACAGGGATCGCGACAACATATCGGCGGGTCATTCGCACGCAGGATCACGAACACGAGTTCCGCCGTACCCGACGCTCGTACGACGGCTTAACCACCGCGTCGGCGTCGGCGTCGGCGTCGGCGTTCTACGACGGTGGCGGCGTCGGCGTCGGCGGCGGTATAGCGATCTGCGGAGACGCATCCGCGTCGGATAGCTTCGCATCGCGGCGCCTCGCGTCGGCGTCGCTGGAATCGTCCGCGAGACGGGCAAGCAGTGGTGGCCAAGGCATCGTGTAAGCGCGTGTAACCGCCATATTGGTCCAACTCCGGACGACAGCTCATCGCGGGTCGCGGAGCTTTTGAGCTTCCGGAGCTTTCCCGATCGTCGTCCGTGTCGGTCCGGCCATAATAATAAGGGACACGCGTAAAGTGGAGCAAAGGCGAGGGTTGCCACGCAGGAAAAAGGGTGGCTAGGAGAGGACACGCGATAATATTCCAGATACGCCTTCGAACGCCGCATCATTGCATCGGATAGTGGGAGAAAGAGGGAGGGAGAGAGAGAGAAAGAGAGAGAGAGAAAGAGGGCTAAAAAAGAAAGGAGAAAAATAAGGATAAGATAAATAACACGCATACGTAATAGTGTAATACGTGTTCCGGCAATACAACCACGCGATAAACTCGTGGGACAATAGCAGCGATCAATTGCGACAAATATCGATCTTCTTGCAATAGACACTCTCTGTCTCTCAGGTTGTGTTCTTTGAACATTTTTTTTTTTTTCGAACACACAAACACTTTCGTCAGATTTTGCATCGCTTCCGTCGTACCACGTCCATGAGTTGTCACTCTTGATGAAGATCTAGAAAGAAACATCGTCGTACTCCGAAATCAGCAGAGCTCTACCTCTCGTCATTAAAAAATACCGTAAAAGAGGATCAATTGAAATTTCTGATAATATCAATAATGTCGAATCTTCCTGAAACTGATCTTCCTGAAAAACTCTTTTTCAGTCTTCATCAATCTCACGGAAATAAGATCGAGGCTCGGTTCGAAAGTCTTCCGAGAGAATATCAAGCGATCAATCGACGAGAAGTTGACACAAAGATAGTCTTTGACAGTCTGCTTTGCCGGTGTGACAGCACTGCGAGTTCGTCTCTCCCTCTCAACTTCTGCCAATCAATAACCGGCGCATCAACTCGCTCCGCTCTCTACCTTCTCTTCTCTCTCTCTCTCTTTCTCTCTCTCTCTCTCTCTCTCTCTCTCTCTCTCCTCCCTCTTTCTCGAGCCCTCTCTTTCTATCTTTCGACTCTCTACCCTTTCTCTCATTCACACATTTTCTATTCTCCCCGTTTTTTTGTCAAACACAACAAACGCGCCAACATTCTCTCTCCGTTTTTTCTCATCGTCTTCCCTTCTTTCTCCATCTCGCTTCTTTCCTCTTCTCATCTCTATTTTTCTATCCTTGTCTCTCACCTTCTTCCGCGTTCGCGCCTGCGAAATACGCGCGACGGAATTCCGCGGCCGTCTGTCAGCGCAATCAGCAACACCAGCAACAGACCTAACGACAGCATCATCAGCGGTCCAAGGTAGTCAACGGTAGCAGCAGCAGCAGCGCTCGAACTAGCCACGCCAGCGCCTCACGTACCAACAGGCGCGCGAGTATCTATTTATAATTTCGTCAAACGTAACGGAGGACGAAACTGAACGTCATACCGCGTACGACCACCTACGCCAGCTGCGAGGAAAGCGAACGCCGAGTGTGAGATCTGGCGGAGACCGCGAGGGTGACGCGGCGCGGCGCGGCCGCGCCTTTAAACCGCGTAGCCGAAAGACGTAATAGGTTGATCGCGTGCGACATCCTCTCGTCGTAAAGTTCAAGGATTCGAGCCTGGTTTGTTGACCGAATTTTTGCCCGAATCCGTCTACCCTTGAGAGAGCGTGTGCCATCGATATTTCTCTCCGCGACGAATCTCGCATCCGCGCACTCTCTCTCTCTCCCTTTCTCTCCTATCGCGACACCGACCAGTCGATCCGCGCGCGCGGCCACCCCGTCGAGAGAGAAGAGAGGGTGGTGGAGGGCGCCGCGCGATAGAGGGTGACACGACGGTAAAGTGATATCGTGACGCGGGTGGTGTATCGACGAAGAGGATCGACGAGGAAACGATCAGCGGAGTCATCAGGAAGCGGAAGAAGGCGGGAAATGGGCAAGGTATCATGCGCAACATCATCGGGAACGTAACCCTTCGCGCGTTGGGGTCCGTCGCAGTTCAGTGTCGTCGCGCGACGTCGCCATCATCGTCGGCGTAGTAGCGCCTCGCCCCAGGCTCGAGGAACCTTGCTCGGCGAGACCCCGATCGCGTACCTATGTGTCCGTCCGCGAAGAGTTCGTGAAGACACTTCCGCGACGACGTGAGGGCTTCTTACCCTATTCGGCTGAGGTGCGCGCTGGTGCGAGCATGCGGGCTTCGGGCGAGGCCCGGCGAGGCGGCCCCGCGGGTGGACCGGGCTAAAGGAACGATCGCATATCGGGAGGGACACTCGCGAACGCGGGCACGGTGCATCCGCGGCCGTGCCCGCACTCGCACTCCCTTATCTCGGCGCCGCGCCGCGCCGGCCACGCGCCGATCAGACTGATCCTGAGGACGCGGGAAGCGAGCTGGACTCGCTTTCGGACGCATGGAACATGATAGAGGTGAGAGGCGGAATTCTTTTTCCTTTGAACGCATTTGTTTCATTTTATCTCGACACGAAATCAAATAATTGCGCTAATCGATAACAACTGCGGCAACCCCTATTCGCTTTCCGATTTATGGTGAACCGGAACGCAGTGGTATGTTCTTCGTATAGGCATATATACATATAGCGAGCATTAATTTGTTTGATCTGAAATTCTGATTTAAACAATTCCAGTCGGTAGAAAGCTTACTCTATAGCGATGATGAATTGATGTTGTAATGTATACAGATACATTTTTAATTTCAAAACATGCGGATAAATAAATATCAAGGTTAAATTGAAAATTAAAATTGCATTCAAGCGTGTTGAAATTATCTTAGGCGACGAGAAAATTGAATTATATGTTGTGAATTTTCCCTGAAATAATAATACGCGTAATGGAAGGAGCGCGAAGGCATAATAACGTAAGAACTTTATTATCACTGATTAGAATCTCGCTTGAAATGCAGCTTACACCGCTCAAATTCATTTATATAGATACGCGCGCACACACACGTTCTCCCCGATCGAAGTAAATTTACAAGATTATCGGACGAAGCGCTTGTAGGAGAGAGAAGCGGGGGTTGTAGTTGCACGTGCTCCGCGATTGCGTGCTGCACGAAGGTAACACGCCATTGGGCCATTGACATGTTGACACGCAGCTATGCGTAAACACTATCGCCGTTTCAGAATCACTTTAAATGCGTTGGCAGCGTTTGCGACTGGGAGCCACGATGGCGAAACTAATATCCAAAATTGTATCCGAAAATGTCAATCATTTCTGTGTTAAAATACTAGTCTACACGAGTGTCATATCGTTTACTAACAACTACCAAACACAAATTTTAAATAGACAATTGATAATATTTGTGCTTGTTATTTTATTTAGAATTTCCATTAATTAATTGATTGATCAAGTTAATCCTTAGTGAACAGATATTGAATTTTGATTAACAAAATTATTTCTTCATTTTTATTTATTCCGTTAGGCAGTTTCATAACTTACAATGTAAATTATTATTATTATACGCCAATAAAACACTTACGTAAAATTCGCATCAATCGCTCAGCTCTAAGTATTTCGTAACTTTCGTGGTGTTCTCTAGTATAAGCAACAGTTTGTTTCCACGTCGTCTGCCAAAACAAATCGCATTCAAAGATTATTGAAACTTACATCGTTAACACTGTCGCAACTGCAGTCACGTTTTCGGAGATATAAACTGAAATTTGCTCTGTGTATATCAACATGAACGCGAACTCTAAAACCGCGATATTCGCTTTTGGATACTCTACAATTTCCGGTCTTTATTTCCCGATCTCGAATCATCGATATCGCTATAAGCGATTGAACAGTTCCTCCGTTCGATATCTATGATCCCGAGAACTCCACGTGCCTATCTCTTTCTCTCTTTTCCCATTTCTCCCTCTCTTTCGTCCTTACGCAGCTCATTCGTACGCGTCGTCACGTTTACTCGCGGCTACACGTGTACACTTTACGCGAGTGCCCGCTGTTTATCAACCTCTGCCCACATCCCATATAAGCGACCGTCCGATATGGTCGTTATCGCGTGAGGCCGCACGTAGAGCAGGTCATCGATATACAATGTGGCATAAAAATAAAGGGCTACACGCGGCTACGTACAAACAACATATCCAAAGTTCATTAGTTTTTTTTTTTTTTTTTTTTTTTTTTGTATACGAGAGGGAACGCCCAAGCCGTAGAAAATATTTCTTCAAGGTTTTCCGTTCGTTGAAATAAAATCTCTTTGCTGAAATAAAATCATGCGCGAATTTCGTTCCGTTGTTCGCGAAATCTCTCTCTCTCCATCTCGGGTTTCAAATATGGAAAATAAATTCTCAATTTCGTTCGATTCCTACTTCGTATATTCTGCTTTTAATGATTAAGATAAAATATTCTCTTGTTGATACCTGTCATTGCTATGTAATATCTGATAAATTAAAAAAAGGAAATCACCTACGAATTTTCAGGCTATCGATTTGCGTTGAAAATTAGGACATTACGCGCGATTGAGATGTCAAAATTTATTGAGAAAAGATAGAGAACGTACTCGATTTCGAATTGAGATCGTCCTTAAATATGGCATTAAGGGATTAATTCCTCTCCTTAAACTTTCTCTCAGAATCCAATATCGATCAGCTTCAACCGTCTGGCGATCATGAATTTTAAATATCGGAGACCTCGAACGGAACAGCGAACGGAAGAATAATAAATCTCTAGCTACATCTCTCATTTCGATATCGCCATCGTCGGGCCGCGCTGAAAATACGAGCCAATCGATACGTGCAGCTGAGCGTACGACAATCGTATCCGAACTAATTGGCTGCTTTTTGAAGGCTTATGTGTCAATTATCGTACGGTCAGTTTATTTCGATTAAAACTTGACGATTTTATCATGTTGCCGCAGACAAATTGATTGTCCTGTTTTTTCCCGAAATTTATATGGAGTATTTCAATCGTACTCTAATGATTACGACGATTCTTACGTTAAACGACAACTGTGATTTAATTTCAACGTATCCAGTAAATCCATTCTTCTTTCGAAATTTTTCCAAGTCGCTTTCTTACGATTTTTGTAATAATTTTCAGCTTACAATAAAAATAGCTCTCGCATCTCTTTATGGCGAATTAAATATATCTGTGCGAGAAGATATAAAAAGAATAAAACATCTGACTATTAATATCGATTAATGATGATATTATAACTATATATACAGGATTATTTAATTTGGTTCATATAGGCATCAATTGTGTATGTACCATATCAGTTTTACCACCCCCGCATTAAAGAACAACTTCATATTATTAATATCTATATCCGAGAGCGCATGTTAAAAAAAAAATAAAATGTCAGCCACTTTACATAAACAAATCATGAAGCCGACAAGTAGTCCATTGTGTTCCGGAAGCCGCCGATTCAGTATACCTATTCTTAGTATCGGGATAAGCTCGTTCGCACGTGGTGCGAATGTTGATTGCAGATGTCGAGTGGACTCGGTGCAACTGCAATGGGGATCGGTGTTAGTCACGGGACAGGCGGCGAGGGTGTAGCTAGTGGTTGTCGCCTCCGTGCACAGAACCAAGGCCAGGCCTCGGGATCCACGATGCAGCACAGTAATCCGCAGCAGTCGTCTCAACAGCAGCAACAGTCGCAACAGCAGCAGCAACAGCAGACGCCTGCGTCACAGCAGCAGTCGCAACAACAACGTCAGGCGGTCATGGGCCGCTCGAAGAAGGACAACTGTTGCCTATGCTGGTGCTGTTGTTGCAGTTGCTCGTGGTACTATCGATCCTGCCCGCTTGCATTTCGTACATCGATGCGAATGATGCTAAAAGAGACCTGCTGACCTGAAAAATCAAGCGCCGGCTTTTTTTTACAAGCGCTCTTTTACATAATTTTAGTCTGCAATCTTTAATAATAGAGTTTATTTATAACGCAAAAAAGTTTCCTTTAAAAAATATATAAATACATTGTATAATAAATATAAAATCTGATTGTTTATGTCTTCTGTCAATGATATTTGCTTTTTATCGATTCGTCCTTATTTAATAATAATGCATGTTACATCAATTTAACTTGTTATAAAGTAAAGCAGTGCACTGATGTACGAAACGTTTTATTAAACTATAATTAATAGTACTTCATTCACGTATATATATATACGACAATGGACAAATCGTTCATGCGCACGAAGAGTGGACTTCTGAATCGTGCAAAGTAAAACTTCAATTCTCCGTTTTATAACTACATACTCGCGACAGCGAGTATATGACAGTATGACTGACAAAGCAAGTCAGCACAAAGAGCTCTCATTGTAATCACTAGTGCAAGGTAGATGAAAATGAGTAAAATGCGCCATTATCGTTATCGTGCGCGTGGCTATTTTCATGCTTACTTCATCTACTGAACCTCTCGTCATTGAAACGATATCGGTCCATTGTCTTTAAACTCACGTGTATGATCCATTTATTGCCGTGCAGACGTATCTACATATTACCTTTCTGTGTTTCATGCCACAAGTAGGAATAAATGGTAAGCAGGCCACGGACTGTGTGCGTTAATGCTGCTTGTTTGGTATGTCGATGACGATGATATCGTAATGCACGTATTACGGCTTACAGAAACGGGGTTATGCACATACCACGCGTTCTTCCTCTGCGACCCATCTTTGCAGATTATACGCGAATAGCCTATTCATTCCGGACTGGCATCGACCCGAAAGAGTCTGCCTTAAATGCAGCGTTTCCTGAATTGCCACCGCGGAAATATGTTCATGGCTATGTAGATTTGATACTGTCATATTGGGCTGAAGAAATCTTCAAATCCTCTCAACATTATTGTCAAATATAACAGTTTCTTCGATTTAACGCAATCTAGGATTTGTCACTAGCAACAAATATATTTTTCCTCAACTGTCAAGGATATCAAACTTATCCTTAGTCTAAAAGAGTTTAAAATATTTAAATTTTATTTTAAAATAATAACATATCCTAATATATATGCAATTTTTAATAATTGTGTATTTTAATATAGAACTGTTACAACTAATTGTAAGAAATACATTTTGTAAAGAAACTGTTGTTGACATAAGCCATAAACTTGCAAACATAACATTATTGCATTCACTTATGAACTTAATTTTAAAAAAATAGGCTTTTGTAACTTTGTGATAAACTATGATTTTACAGTAAAAAATACATTAATAACATAGGAAATTTATCATAAAAATGATATTGAATATGAATATTTTCTTATTCAATAATGGAAAAATTAAAATAAATGTAGATTCAATGAATTTAAACGAGGAGGGAGAAAGAGAGGAAGGCATAAGAGAAAATCATTTGACTGAAGCGTATAAATTGTTTAAGTTTGCCGTTTATTTCCGCATTTGTAATTCATGAATATAAAATAGCGGCAAAAATAAAGTAAAAAAAAAAGACAAAAAGCTTTCCAATGACCCGGTTCTATGTCTGTTATCGACATGACTAATATTTTCTCTCAGTTCAATACTGCCTTTTCACATTTCTTTATATTTTGCGTTACCCGCAGCCTCGGTTAAATTAACGTAAGTCGTTCATTATCATCCCCCATTGCATTCGTGTTCGTCCAGTGGATCGTATTTCTGCTCCTTGCTGCTTATTTCATCTCATTTCCTGAGGTTACCAAGTTTAATATTCATTTGCACATCTCTCTTCTTCCTGTTGTCTACCATTATTTTCGCATTTGTGTTCCTTTTATCATGCTCATGTTCAAATGATATAAATAATTAAAAAAAAAAAAAAATAATATCACCGTATGATTGTAATAATGAATAAAATAATTTACGATCATCGATGTCGACATGACAACTTGCGATTTTTAATCTTTTAGAATTCTGCACAGCACTCGTTATATAGTCAGAAACTGTAAAGTAAATTAAAGTAAACCATTTGCAACAAAGAGACACAATTAATCTGCACATTCTGAAATATTTTCTAAATGTTTACTTCAACTATAAAATATAGGTATAATAAAAAATTTAAATATTAGCAATAAATATCATTATATAACATACATTCTCGAATAGTACTATAAAATAACTGTAATGGATCATTGCAAAAGATGACTGCTTTGTTGTATTAATTTACCAATTTCCAGGATATCATGAACGAGAATGGGATGTGCACTGATTGTTTCAGTTTGGCGGCAGTCGGTGGTAATTCGACGAGCACAGGAGCGGGTGATCAGAGCAAGAAGAAGGGCAACGCCGGCGTCGGCGGCGAACATGGAAGCGGCATCGGCGTCACTGATCTCGCGGGTACAGGTGCGGGTAACGGTCTCGACGGACTCGACGGCCTCGATGGCGGCCTGGAGTGTTGCTTGGAAGAGGTCCGAGCCTGGGGCTCGTCCTTCGACAAACTGATGAGAAGCGCCGCCGGACGCAAGCTCTTCCGAGAGTTCCTCGTGAGCGAATACAGCGAGGAGAATATCGCCTTCTGGCTGGCCTGCGAACAACTCAAGCGAGAGAGCAATCCCGAGACGATCGAGGAGAAGGCGCGCTACATTTACGAGGATTACATATCCATACTTTCGCCGAAGGAAGTGAGTAAAAAGAACCTGTTTTTCGTCTCTCGTAAGAGAGTATGTAGGATATGCACATACTTAAGTATAATCGTTTGAAAGAGATTTAGAAAAAAAAATCATGATATTTTCGTTCTGTTTTTGTGGCAGTTATTAAATAATATTTTAATAATTATCATTTCGAATAATTCTCAGTATGTATTCAGTATTTGAATATTTTTTTTTTTTTTCAAGGAAGGAAGGATATAATATTTAAGGGGAGAATTATAAATTAAAACAATTATTAGAGTTTTTATTCTCAAAGGTATGTTGTTCTCAAATTGGTTTTATTTTATTTGACGATTGAAGTTGAAGTATTTTAAATTAATCGATTGGTTGAAATCATACACACACATTCCTTGCAATCATTACAGCGTTTTAATAAAACTTTATTCGCGAAAATAAAGCTATCACTTCTGAATAAAATATTGATTGAATAAAATATTATTTTAATATCAAATCATATGACATAAATTATGTATATATTAGTATTAATACTTTTCAATAAGTTTTCTTATTACTGAATACAATATTGATATAAAAAAAATTCTTTTCGTGTGCTTGGAAAAATATACCATTAAATATACATTCGTTTAACATCAATCTAGATAGAAACATTTGAATAATTTAAATTTTCTATTTTTCTAATCATTTATTTTTAATGAATATAATATATGTAGCAATATGTGATCAGTATCAATGCATAAACTCATATTTCATGACATAAAAAAATTTCTGCTTATCCCAGTGCTGTTAACTTTGATAAATAGAATCGATAACATTACATATAGGATGCATGATCTAATTGCGCCATTTTATCGGATGCAAAAAGTCGAGTGTTATATGAGCGCGTAAGAATTATAAAAATGCAGTAAAATTGAATATTGTTTGATGTGACACGAGGGGATGCAATATCGATATACTTTTACAATATAATGTTCCGTTTGCGAGAAAAACTGCGAGTGCGCGTGATTGTGTGTGTGAGTGATTTCTTCTATATTAACCTACTGACCTAGTGACCCAGTGACCCCCTTAACGACCTATTCAATCGTCCAAACGGGGCGAATGCACGAACCGTCTTTTACCATTCGAACATTACGGCAAATTGTACACTACACGTCCGTGCGTTATTGCAATCACGTAGATAGTTTTATGAGATAAACGTAAAAGATCGTGCTAAAGGCATCTCGCGCATACATTATCGTCCATAATTCTCGGAAAGCTTTTCATCTTGAATCGTTTATGACTTTGAACGTGTTAGGGCTTCGCCATTTTCGTTATAGTAAAATCTAAAATTAATCAAAAGACTATAGATTGTTTATTGATCTTAGACGTCTATTTTAGAACATTATAATTATATGTTAAATAAAAAAAATAAAATTTTATAATTTTATAATTCGCATGTAAGCTTTCCTAAAATATTACAAAACCTTAATAATAATTTAAGTGATAAAAATATGAATGCGGATGCTGTTTGCATGCTAAAGATTAGGGCTTAAAAGCGATAGAATCTTGCAAATTTGCAAGTACAAAAAAAACGATATATGTGACCAAATTGAATTCAACTTCTCATTATTTTTCCAGGTGAGTCTAGACTCGCGGGTGCGGGAGATCGTGAACCGCAACATGGTGGAGCCTACGCCGCACACTTTCGACGAGGCGCAGCTACAAATCTACACCCTTATGCATCGGGACTCGTATCCGCGTTTCGTCAACAGCGATATTTACCGGAGGGTAGCCAGATTAAATAGTAGCGGCCCGCCCAGCCCGAGCGCCGATAAGGAGCACGGTAGTGGGAAGTCGAAAGGCAAGCGAGGGGCAACGTAATCGTGACGGGTGGTTTAGGGACATTGGGGAGCGCGGACCAAGACCTCCAAAATCAACCTTCAGACCAGATCATGCGTCGATCGGCCGAGAGCCGTTCGGCGGCGAGTTCGCGACCGGCATTACTCCTCTCGATGGAGAGCCTCCGTCGAGATAAGGAATCATTGCCCGAGCGGACATGGCCAATGGAGCTAATCCCTCTCAGGAGGAAGCCATCCCGATCGGGTGGACGACGACGAGCTTTCTGATCGCTCGTCGGAGCTTGTTCAGTGATTCGCTCTTCCACGCGAAGGCGCAACGGGGCCACGTAATCGCGCTCGTCATTGCACATGAGCCATTACAACACCGATGATGATGAATAACGTTGATGATGATGATGATGATGATGATGATGATGATGATGATGATAGATTGAACGTACGACGGAATCGCGGTCGCGGTCGATCGCGTAGATCACAAATCGTAGCCGAAGAAAGGAAGGTCACGCGATCGCTCGGGGATGACGAACACCGTCGATCTTCGAGTCACACAATCCAACCCTCGTCGCCGTTGTAGTTCAGAAGGTCGACTTGAGCTTGCGAGCTTCTTCCTCTCTTTCGCTCTTCTCGGATTGAAAAGCGAATTCGATTGGAATCGCATAGCTTGTGTGTCTCACGATTCGTTACAAATAGTTAAAATATCTCTTCGTTTCTTAGCAACTGTTGGAAGAAATAAAAGAAGAAAAATTAGAAAAACTCTTTTAGCTATTTTTCAATCAAGTATACACGTAAAATAGGGATATATAAATGCGATTCCAACTGAACTCGCCGTACCAAAGGAGTTGACCACCAGGTTTCAATCTAATATATATGCGACAAAATGAGATGTTCGTAATATGTAGCACACGATTGCAGCTATCTGAGGTGTTTGATTGAAGCGATGATGATAATTGCTGCGTACTTCTAGTCGTCCACTCGAAATTCTGCGAGAATATACAATTTTTCCCGCAAGAGACAAGTGCTATGAGCTCATAAATCGATACTTGGCGAAACAATGGATACTCATTCTCTCTCAGAACGCTCTTGAATGGATCTCATCGATCGTGTCTCCTGTGAACTTACAGATAGATTAACGCGCGTAGCAAAGGCTCGTCGAGAGTATAGATTTAATCTGCTCAAGATCGAATTCGCCGGTTGCTCTCTTTCTCCTGTTTCCGCGACGTTTTATCTTCCACGATCGGAAGAAAATCGAGTCTCAAACGTTGTAATACAGCCCGCTGTAACGTCAGGGTAACGCATCGTAAACGTAACGTATTTTTTATGATCGCGCATTTTTCTATAATCACCAGTAGTTCGCGTCCGAGTCTTTCTCCTCGGGAAAGATGGGGTCGCGAAATCATATGTACTTATTCAGAAAGATGAGAAGAGCGTCGGGAAAGAGAGAGGAAGGGGGAGAAACAGAGGGAGATTGCGATTCTCCGTCAAGCATATCGGCACCTTCGCTTCCATCGCGCTTTCAAAGGGTCGGATGGATCTTCTGGTCGCTTCTGGTGCGTCATCCCCATGGCGGATATCGAGCTACTGCCAGCGAGAACACACCAAAAGATCGAACGTGCGTCGAAGCCAACCAATATGACGATCTCTCTCATCAAAGAGAGGACTCAACTCAATCAACACATGTTACGTACAAACGCGCACACGACCACACAAACACACGCACATATACATACATATATATATATATATATATATATATGCATATATATATATATTTACGCATACAGGAGACGCACACACGCTGACGCAACGCGCGTACGCTCGTGTAGAATCTAGTCATCGTCACGCGAAAATGCGATTCGGGAATACGCGTGATTGTGGAAGAAAAAGGCGGCCTAAACACGAGAAAAATACCAAGTGTCCCTCGAACTCACGTGAAATCAAGGCTTCGAAATTAGACTGTCATCATTGATGCGAATCAGAAAGAAAGAGGAAAAACAAGAGTGATGAGATGAAAGAAAGAGAGAGAGAGAGAGAGAGAGAGAAAGAGAGTGAAAGAGAGGAGTAAAACGGCGAAAAGCGGTGAGTCGTCGCGGCGCGAACGCAATTCTTAGCACTAATTTTCATAAGTATATAAGTACGGAATAGAATCTAAAATAAAAAATAAAAAAGAATCACGACGACTCGATTCGCGCCGCGATGTCTGCTCGCCGCCAGGATTTCTTCTCGGCCGCGATGCGCTTGAATAGCTCGTCACATGGACAATTCGCTATCGGGGATTTAGCTTTCGTTTCCAAAAAAATCTTGCAATTCTCCTTGTAGGTAGGTTTACGTCTGAGATTTATCGCGTGGCACCGTATAGTATTACGACAACGGTAAGTAATGTAAGCGCGCTGAAGAGAATTTGTATCAGATATTGCGTTACAATGAGAGCGCACGTTGGCGGAGAAGTGTCAGAATCGTGGAACTAATGTTAAATGTAAATCTAACTTAATATAATGTCTCCCTTCCCCAAGAAATCCCCCGGCGTTTATACTTGTGTCAGCCACATGTTTCGTTGAATGAAAATGTCAGACGTAAACTTGCTACCGCTGTTCGCATCTCGTCATGAGAGATCGATCTTTGCGTCGCGATCGAGAAGAGAGCGACGTTTGGCCGAGGCGTATCGTAAGCTCAAAAATGAAAACAAAATGACTCGTATAGCTTTTTCTTTCCTCGTGGAACTTATCGACGAACAAACGGGGGATATTTGCCGTCATCAATAAAACGACCAAAAAGAGCGGTGAAGTTCGAGCGCATCGCGGCGCGTCCGTGCAATCTCCATTCGCGATATAGATCGGTAAATACACATCGCGATATGTCAAACGTATATACATAACACACACAAAAGGCGCACGTGCTCTCCTGAGGATCATCGAAATGACGAGGAGGGCGAGACGACATATACATATACGAGCGCGCATCTCTCTAGTCAAATCGTCGACATCGTCGCGAGCGGACAGCACAAGCGACAACACTCGCACAGTCAGTCAGCGTTTGGCTACTGCCCTGTAGATAATATATAGATAGGTATATAATGAACGAAGAGGATTAATGATTATAAATATAAATATATATATATATATATATATATAAATATGAAAAAAGAGAGAAAAGAAATATATATATAAATATACAGAAAAACAATGTGCTATGTTCCACATAGGTGCAGAATGCGAGCGTGCGGGAATAAATATAACAGTGAGAAAGAGAGAATGTGAGAGAATGAGGCGCGATTCTCTCTTTTTAATCTTCGATTTCTTTGTTCGACGCGAGGACAGCCCGTTTGCCGCGAAAATCGAAAGACGGTAAATTAGGGGATATCTTTCCAAATCGATCTTAATTTTAACATTGACGATAAACACCGTACTCGCGCGACACCGAAGCGGACGACGAACGTGATATGATGAAGATCGTAAGCAGTGAAAATTGCGCAATTAGATCGAGAGGAGGAGAGGATAGAGCGATAATACAATATACGTATAAATAGGTGTAAATGTCCCTTTAAGACCTGTGAATGCCTTATTATTATTATCTTCCTTAATTATTAGTGTCTTCATAATTATTCCTTATTACTGCTACTGTGTGATTCTGCATTAAATTTCTTATTATAAACCCTTTATATAGGTACAGAGATTTAATTGCTTTTACTTGCTGCGATTTTGCAAGTAAATCGCAAAGAGTATGTGATATAGAAATTTTGTGATATAGAATGTCGAAGAGAAATGCTCGAACTCGTCGCTCTCTCTTCTCTTACCTCCAGCAGGGCTATTCATTTAGGATCTCAACGTGGCTTCCGGAGGCCTCGCGTCGGCATCGTCGATGAAATTAAGCGGTGAGATTGCTCGAACGTCGTCTTCACTAATAAACGCACAATTTTCTCAACCTTCGATCCCCTGCTTCTTTTTTCACGAGGAAATCTCCCTTAACATCCATATAGGGCGGAGAGGTAAGGGCATGCCAGAGCCATCATCAGCACAGCTGCGATCGTGCATGAATCTCTCCCGACCCTTGCATATTCTAATTTTTCATTTTTTCCCGAGGCAATCAGTAAATTCGTACGATGCGACGTATGCAGGTAAGTGTTCTGTTATCTTAAATGTTGTCGATCGAACGATTGCGAGCTTATCTCGATAAAATGCTCAACAGGAATCTGTTTTTACGAGCTGAGTTTTACTGTTTGAGAAGAGTGAACTGAAATGAAGCGCAAAAAATTATAAATAATATCTATATTTATTATATTGATTTTTATATAATCATCGAGTCAGAAATACATTAATTACATTAAATACATATATTTAAGAAATATTTAAGCACTCTTAACAGAAGACAAGAAAGAATATTTAGTAAAATATCAAAACTTAATTATTAGCAATTTAATATAATTTCTAAAAAGAAAATAAATAAAATAATATTTTTATATCATAAAATATAGAGCTTATTTTTTAGTTATTTTTAATTTGACTTAAAACGACTCACTTAGCTTTCTACAGATGGAGTCTCCTGGAAGCTGGCGTGATAGTAAGACGATACGATGAAAACTAATTTATTTACTGTTGGTATAATAATGAAAAAATATACAAATTTATCGTTAAAACTATTATTGAAAAATAATTGGTACAGCTATCTAAAAATTTTTTCAAAGCTATATGAATATAATACAATATTATGAAAAGTTACGAATTTTGCTATTGCCAGCTGTTAGTAAAACAGCATGGATACTATAGTAATCTTATATTGATTTATAAATGCATTTTCATTTAATAAATTTTAATAATTTATTGTTAATAAATATATTTTAATTTTATTTTTAATAAATACATTTTTTTATTTTAAGTATTTAGGTTGTATTTTATATTTAATTATTTATAACACTAGTACAAAAATATAATTAATTCATTTTGTTATCGTAAATTTTATTGAAACCATATAAAAATCATCATCCCTAACATTAATAAATGCGAAGCTTTCATTGCTAAATAAGGCATAAATTTTACGAGATTCTATTGCCAATTCTACATGATCGCAACTGTAGCTGCATTTTGCTTAGAATGGATCCTGATTTCCTTAATATATTATTTAATCGTGGGCGTAAATAATGTATAAAAATATGTAAGAACAATCCGTGATTGAGACTCACAGATAACCATTCCGCCTCCTGGAATTGATGAATGACTATGCATTTACCATACAGTGATATATGTATATGCATATCTATTGACTTAATTTAGAATGATATATTAATGCGATTAAATATATTTTGACAAAACATATATAATACAAATTTTCTGCAATTTTTAAATAAATGTTCTTTTATTATATAAATACAGCTTGCTATTAATATGATTTATAATTATGAACTCTTGTACTTTTTTAATGTTTATCTTGCTCCTTTTTAACTATTAAGTTTTTGTAAGCTCTTCAGAGTATTGACTTTATATCAGTGTGTTTTTTAAGAAATAAAAAAGGTTTCACGTATTATATATGTATATATTTGTCTTATGAAGCGGAGGGTGGCCGTGCACGCTGCGTCACCGAAACTCGCCTGAGGCGAAGAGTAAGTGTAACGCAGATTCGAGTCCCACCCAGACCCCAATAGGTTTCCCCCAAAGGGAAAAAGTAGTTGTAAGATCTTCCATAAGGAATCGCGGCAGTTTGCACATATACTCAGCCACGGTTGGGATACTACAAAAATATACATAAGACAAATATATAAGTGTAAGTCCCATTTTTATATAAATAAACGACTTATGCGGGATCATATTTAATAAATTATTCAAAGTAAATTGGGAAATGCTGTGTAATTATAACATCTTATAAGTGTAAGTCCCATGAGACCAAGGCGTCAATTATTTTGAACACCACCAGAAATCAGAACATGATAATAATATCATGTTCTGATGGTGTTCAATAATGAATACTTCATGTTCTGATTTCTGGTGGTGTTCAAAATAATTGACGCCTTGGTCTCATGGGACTTACACTTATAAGATGTTATAATCACACAGCATTTCCCAATTCACTTTGAATAATTCATTAAATGTTAAATGATCCCGCATAAGTCGTTTATTTATATGAAAATGGGACTTACACTTATATATTTATCTTATGTATATTTTTGTAGTATCCCAACCGTGGCTGAGTATATGTGCAAACTGCCGCGATCGTAACCCATAACCGAGTATCCATTCCCAAGGAACCACAAACCTCACCTGAAATCCGATGCGATACGATGCAACACTGCTGAACAAAGTATACCTTCACGCTCCCTCTCTTCGAGGAAGGAGTTCGTCACTGAAACATCCGCTTTCTTCACCTTACAATCCGGTGTCGATTATTCAAAATCATTCAGTAGACATATCGAATGCATATCTAGCTGTGGCATAAAAAAATTCAGATTTTTTTCTTTTTTTATTAATTCGCAATGGAAGCAGTGTTATTGCGAAAACTATATAGCATCATGTATGTTATTATCGTGAATTAGAAATATTTCATGCAATTAAATTTTAATCGAAAAAAATATACAATTTAGAAGAACATTATTGAATTTTTAGCAATTATTTTGTTTCGATCAAAAAAATCCACAGAAAGAAAATTAATTATGCTTTGTCTTACATAATTTCAATTTTGATATATCTCGGTTTATTTTTCGATTAATATTTCTTCCAAATAATATTGCGTATTAATCTATGCAAGGCTAAATACATATAATCTGTTTCATGCTGCAGTGCAGCATCGCGCGAGTCATCGTGCACACGCATTACGCAGCTTCATATGTACTCGATATAAAAATCCGTTCACTATGAGAGGCATCGGCTTTATGCGTTCTTTTTTATTTTTCTGCCCCTTGAGGCTACCGGCTGCTCGGCTGGACTTGCTCCAATGGAAAAGATCACGATCCAGAGGCCAAGGAGAAAACCGCGCGTGCGCTCGGACCAGCTCATACTCTTTTTTTTTTTTTTTTTTTGGTCCCCGCCCGCCCCCGTTTGTCTTGCATTGCGTTTCTTCGTGCTGACATCGTTTTCGCGGCCTTCTACACCCAACTTCTCTCCGCCTTCGTCCCCGCTTTAACCCTTTTCAACGTGGCCGCTCCTTACATCAGTGAACCGCATGTATCTGGAATTTTTTAGCGACGATTCGTATATGCGATTTTATGGCGGATCGCTCCAGGAGCTCCTTGTGTCTCCGAATCCAATGAAGATTTAACAGATATGCCGTTTTATAGCTCTCTTTACATTCGCCGTTTAACTGACATTTGAAATTAAATTTAGATAAATTAATTTAAAAAGTAATTTTTGTTATATGTTACACATGTATAGGTACATCTTATTTTTTCTCACTAAATATCATTTAATTTCGAATAGACTGGTAATACTGGAGCAGCAACCATCATTCTTCTTATATTTGACACGGTAAAAGTGCGTTGACTTTTGAAGCAGATTATACAAAAAACCTGGCCAATATTATAAAACTCATATAAAATGATTCACGGCGAGCGCTCGTTCATCACGTCGTACACTGTCGACGTTACATTGCCTCGGGACGTTACTTTCCGCTTCAGTGTCACATTGGATTACATCTTCCGTACGTCGCGTCAGGCATGATTTTCCTCTTTCTCTCATCCTCGCATAAACGTCCACCTCCTTAGCGAAGGGTATTTCATACGCGAGACATGTTCGATGATATTAATTATCTCCTCCGTTCTCAACGCGCATTACTAAAATTTGTTATCGTCGCTGGTAATCAAATACTCCACACGGGATTTGTAATGAAAGGTTCTTAGCCTAAGGTTCTTGTGCATACGCAGAACACACCGGCGGTTCTTGGCTTTTTTTCTCTTCCCTTTAATCTCACCCTACGTGACACAAAATAAGATATTTCTAGTAATTCGCGGTTACAATATTGAGATTGGATCGGCGCTGCGGGATTCTCTCTCCGCGCGAATTATATGTAAAGATTGTAAAGATCCTTCGTTACGGTCATTATTATTAGCCCGAATGCTGCAACGAAAGTTACTCTCATATTTATATGAAATAAAACGTACGCATTATCGTAGCATCAAAAAGAGAAATTCTTGAAGAATAAAGTCATAAATTTTTAACGCAGATATATAAATTTTCTGTTGAATTCGACGGAAATCTTAATGAATTATACGATGGAATGGACGATTTTATTTTATTCGGGACAAGCGTAAACTAATTTAATTAACAAAATTTGTTTTTAAATGATTGTCATTAATAAAAAAGCAGTATCTCAAAATGCAAAAATTGAAGAACGAATCTTTTCAACTATGAAGTTCAATGATAGACGTAGCGAAAGAAAGATCAGACGAAATCTCTCGTGCGATCGAGAGGATCTCGTTTGAGTTTCATCATGAAATATATATGTGATGTTCGATTCCCAGTCTGATGATGAAACGGCCTTGAAGATATTCTATCTGTGGTATACTATTCAAAATCGAGGTCAATTTTGAAATTGGCATACAAATTGATTAATATGCAATACCTTATTAATTCCTTCAATAATAAAAAATAATGTGCATTTTGTGTGCGTGCTGGAAATAATTATCATTTACATAAACAATAAAAAATGTATTATGTTTAAATACATTAAAGAATAGCTGAAAATTTTAATTAGACTTATTGCAATAACGATATTTCATGAATATCACAAAAACTTCTAAAAATTTATGCACAATTTATTTTATATGAAACAGGTGGACAGATTTATGACATCAAAATGACAAACTTATTCTTGAAAGAAACGAAGGAAAGAAAAAAAGACGATCTTACCTGGATCAGCATGAATCTCTCCGAATTGGTTAATAATATCCCCCACAAATAACAACATAGTATTTCTGTCTCAACCTGGCAAGCATTCATGACTGAAAGT